CTATACTGTGTATATTGCTATACTGTATATTGCTATACTGCGTATATTACTATACTGTATATTGCTATACTGTGTATATTGCTATACTGTATATTACTATATTGTGTATATTGCTATACTGTGTATATTACTATACTGTATATTACTTATATATATATATATATATATATATATATATATATATGTGTGTGAGGAAAAAGATAATTTATATTTACCAAATGTTGACAAATTGATACAGCTATTGGCATTAGTTGTTGCGTATATGTACAAACAATTTTTTGCATAACACTAGTTAAATCATCGTTCTCCGTATCTCTAATAATATCTAATAATTCAAGAGTAATTTGCTTTACAAGTGGTTCTATATATTTCTGAGCTTTTTCTTGCGAGCATAGAAACATTTGAAGTGCTATAGCAGCTTCAACTTTAACAGGCAAATCACGGTCATTTAAAAGAGCATTCGTTGTCAGTCTAACTGCTTCAATTAAAATTTCTTCTTGTTTAAATCTTATTTCAGAGAAATAATGTAAAACCCAACAAGCCTAAGAAAAAACAAAACAAAACAAAACAAAATTATGATCATATTTTTATTAATATTTAAATTATGAATTATTAACAAAATGAAATGTTTATATTACCCTCGCTCGCATATGACCATGTGGACTATTAAATTCTGGAAACACATGTTGTACTAACATCTTATCCATTTGTTCTCTGTACACTTTCTTTTTAAGCAAAACATCTGCCAAACTTCCAACCTAAGATAAAAAAAAAAAAAAAACATTAATTATACATATATGTGTATGTAAACAATGTATATCCCATTATTTGTATTGATTTTCAAATTAATTTTACCATATGTAATGCGCCATCTTTTTGTCGTGGTTCAGCGTTTGGACTTGTTAAAACTTCCGCACATAGGTGCATTGTTTTTTGAAGCATATCTTTTCGTTTTTTACATGCAGAATGTAATAATGTTTGTGCTGCTACTACTGGCGAAACGAAATCCTCAAATATATCTGAAATAATAAACAAAACAAAAAAACTATATCATTGCACATTTTAAAAGTGTTGTTAAGTTCTCTGTTAGAAATAACAATCATTGTTAATGTTGAAATTTTAAGTGTATAGGTTTTATTATGTACTTTCTTAGAAAGTGTTAAATGAAAAAAAAAAAAACAAAAACAAAATGATAAAATAAGACAAACCAAATAATATCATTTTGATATGATCAAATACCAATGGACAGATAAAAATTAATTTTATCTGTCCATTGTATTATAAGAATAAATTTGGACATTACTTACATGGCATAGCTAATAAAGCAGCATGTCGTTCAGATTATTATCGAGCAAATTCGATGGAACCAAGAATCATTTGTTCAAAAAAAAAAAAAAAAAAAAAAAGAAGAGTGGCCAAAAAATAAACCAAAAGAAAAAAAAGAATATTTATATATAAATTTTGATACAAAATTTATGTATGATGATGTAATGAACGTTTTACAATAATAACTATTATATAATAATAATAATAATAATAATAATAGTTAAAAATATTTCTTACCAAATTTAACCCTTATGTATTCATGTGGATCACTATTCCACAATTCTTGATCAGATTCGGAATAAGAAAGAATTGGAAATAGTACATCACGAATGATCTCAAACATATGAGGCTTCAAAAATTTCCAGGAGAAAGCATGACTAACACTGCAGTATTTAAATAAAAACAATAATATTACATTAAACGATGTAAATATTAAGTTTACAACAACAACAACAAAATAAACAAGAATTTATACATATATATATATATATATATTTTTAATATTATATTAGGTGGACTGTGAAAAGTAATGTTGTTTTCTAACGTTGAACTAAACTTAACCTAAACGAATTACTTATTAACAAATGTTTATTTATAAATCAATAATTAAATTAATTAATCACGTTATCAATAACCTATTTCCATCTGGTATGCAAATTTTATAATATTGGATCAATAAAAATTAATTGGTTTTTAATTAAAATATAAAAATATACATATGTGTAGAAACGACATTACTTCTTTCTGGTCCCCCCCTAATTATTTATAATATTATATATTATCAATTTTTACCCTTGATTGATGTAATTGATCGATTGTTGTACAACTCGTGGTGAGACAAAAATTTTCCTTCTATATTGATCCAAAATTTTCAACAAAACTTCTAAAATACCTGCGCTAAAAGTTTTAAGATACCATTCAGCAAATTCCTTATATTCTTTGGTTACATTACCAGGACTACCATATCTACAAAAAATATAAAATATAATATAATATAATGTAATTAAATAATATAATAATATTTTGTCTAATATTCTTAAAACGTTCCATGCCAAGCCCCCCCCCCTTTTTTATCTGACTTGTCATTCAAGCCATTTAATTTTGGCTTTAACAAAATCAACCACATTTTACATGCAATTACATATTAACAAAATGTAATATTTTGTAAATAATGCATGAATATTTTAATAGAAATATTCTTTTACATGTGATCTGAAGAACGTGTTGTAAATATAAGAAAAATTACCTTTCAAACATTCTATGAAGAATATGCAAAGCCCATTTTTTACATTTCCACCAAGGAAGTTCTACACGTTCATCATCGTCTAAATTAAGATTGAGAGTCTCAGGTGGTACTGGTCTATCTGCTACTTGTCGCACAATATCCATCCACTGAGAGAATACTTCTTTTGATATAAGATCCAAAGGCAGCGTATACTATATTAAAATAAAAAATACAAAAATTATATATTACAATGTTTAATATAATATATATTAAAATTAAATTACTATATTAAAATTAAAATCAAGTTACTATATTAAAATTTAAATTAAATTACTATATTAAAATCAAAATTAAAATATTATATATAAAAATTACTATATTAAAATTAAAATAAAATTACTATATATATATAAAAATTACTATATTAAAACTAAAATTAAATTACTATATAAAAACTACTATATTAGAATTAAAATTAAGTAACTATATTGAAATTACTGTATTAATATATTATATATTAAAATAATAATTAAATTACTATATTAAAATTTCTATATTATAAAATTACTATATTATAAAATTACTATATTAAAAAACTATATATATATATATATATTAAAAAAAAAATAAATACAAATTAAATCATTTCTAATAAAATATAATGTCATATGAATAATTATAAAAAAAAATTGATTAAATTTATTATTTCTATAAATACCTGAGTAAGGGCAAAAAAGATTTTTAGAATTTGTGTCTGAAGTAAAACTGATTGTTCGGATGGATCTGGTAATAAACGTAATACCAACTGATAAATCATAGGTAAAAGCAAATTCATTGCTTCATTTAATGGTCCTCTTTCTTCTGCTTTTTTGTATCTAAAAAAAAAAAATACATAATTAAATTCAATTAATTATTATCTATTTCCAGGATAAACCTACTAGTAACAAATATTACAAAAGATGTCAAGTAAAAAGTAAAACAATAACAATTATTATTGATATTATTAACACGTTCAACACATTATTACAACCCTTTTTACCTGGACTTATCATTCAGACAATTTCATTTTGTTTCAATAAAATCAACCATTACATGTAATTATTAATTATTGTAGATACAATAATTAAACAAACTTACGTGCTTTGTTCTATAAAACATTTTGTAATAATGCATCAATATTTTAATAGAAATATTCTTTTACACATTGTCTGAAGAACAAATACAACTGTGTACCACCTTTGGGGTACACATGGCACGGTACGTGTTAATGAAACTTACTCAAAATTTTTAACAAGTTGATATAAAGCAAGTAGAACACCAGGCCAACAAGAAGCATCGGAGTTTTGTAGATATATCGTAATTTTATCAACTATTTGGGTCCATCTTCCAGGAAAATCATGTTTAACTATATTGCTAATGCATACCGCTAATTGCACTCTAAACAAATTAATATCAATATTAATGTTAAATTAACAATATTCAAATAAACAATTAAATATTATTAAAATACGTACCTTAACAAATCAGGTGCATGAACAACTGCGTCTACTATTGCATCACGTAACATAGCACGGTCTTGCTCATGAATGCTAAATTCTACAGTTCCATGATCGCATTCTCTGTCAGCCCAATTTGTGGTAATTAAATTTTTCAAGTAAATAACACCTGTAAAACACAAACAATGTTTTATAACATTTATACTACAGTATTATATCTGATATATGTAATCTGTACTTATTACGTACTATGATTACTTGTTTAATAATATTAGTATGTAAAACCACTTACATTACAATAACATGTGAAATTAGTGATATGTTTTACAATTCTAATCAAATAAACATAAAAAACAAATTACCAAATATGGTGGCATTGGTTTGACATATTGGAATTATAATGTGAAGAGTTGATACGTATATACATTTATCTATAACTTTAACTGTATTATACAGTTTTACATATTTATCATTCATATCACTTGCATTATAATAACATGTACAATTAGTGATATGTTTTACAATTCTAACTGAATAATAAACATAAGAAAGACCAAATATGGTGGGGCATTGGTTCACATATTGAATTATAATGCGAAAATTTGATACGTATATACATTTATCTATAATTTTAACTGTATTATACAGTTTTACATATTTATTATAATAATATCGTTGTCATACTTTCAAAGAAATTGTTTTCAATTTTAGTTGAATATCTTTTTAATAATACCAACAAATATAAACTGTATAAAACACATGATGTGTGTGTGTGTGTGTTTTTTTTTCATAACACATGTGCATGTAAATATAATAAATGAATTTCTTCTCTTACCAGCTTGTCGAACAGGCATGTCAATTTCAGCTGACATAACTACTTGTAAAAGTATTGGTGCAAAACCTATTATCTTGTGAATCTGAAAAACATATTTTGAATATTTTGAAACATTCATTATATTTCATAAATTTTATGAACAAATATTCATTTATCATAAATAAAAATATACAAGTATATTTTATATATTAAAAAAAAAACCTAAGAAACACTTTGAAATGATTGTTAATTTGAAATAACAAATCATTTCTAAGATTTTATATTTATTCTTACAAAAAAAATTAATGGCTGATAATATAAGTAAAAAAAAAAAAATAAGAATATTCCAGTATGAATGACTAATCTATGTTACAAGAGAAAATTATGTAATGTTACAGATATAATGCGCATAGGTCAAATATTCAAGATTCATAAACAAATTTTTATTGAGGCTTTAAACAAAAAGCTGTAACTTAAATACAATATGTAATGCTGTAATTTAATTTATGTATTATTATATATTATATATAAATTAATATAATTTAATAAGAAAATATTGTTTTAAATTACTAAAACAAGATAATCATAATCAATATGTTTTAATAATTTATAAAATAATTTTAATCTTGCATATACTTTAGTATTTGTAACAACATATATATATATATATATATATATATATATATATATATATTATTTTATAGGAGGTCAAATATGTTAAACAAAAATTAATTAAAAAAAAAAAAGTCAATTGAGCAACTATATTTTACATAATTTAATTATTTATATAAAAAATAATGTATTATTTATTACATATTTGAACTTATATAAAATATAATGTAACATAAGGTAAAATATAAGAAAAAAGGAAGCATATAAAAGTAAGGAAATAATATAAAAGAGGTTAGTTTCAAAAAAAAA